GAGCTCGTATATCCATGACATAACTAGAAAATTAGTTGAAATAGCCATGTTTCAATGAGCAAAATTTTGAGTTCCTCAGGAATCAGGATTATATATATTGAGATTTTGTAGGAGGTCCCAACCAGCTAAGAGACATAACTGTTTTCAATCTCCGTATCAGATCTCGGGTCTCTGTTTCAATTCTCCAATTAAGATAAGTGCTATTTATTTATTATGTTTTATATACATGATCCAATTAAAGTTTGATAAGATAAAATTTGCATGAAAATTGGCACATGTGATTTGATTTATGATTGGAGAAAGAATTGAGAAGTTAGTGAATGGAAAGATGTTTAATGGCATGATAGATTGAATGTTTTAATATAAACCCTAGGTTAAACCGAAAGTAAACCGAAACCCTAAATCCTAGGTTAAACCGGTTTAATAAACCCTAAGTCACGGTTTAAGATCAACTTCTCCATAAATAGAAAGTTTCCATATAAGAAAAGTTTCCAGAAATAGAAAGTTTCCATAAATGGAAAGTTCCATATAAGGAAAGTTTCCATAAATAGAAAGTTCCATACATAAAACCGAAACCCTAGCAAAAACCCTAGTACTATAAATCGCGGATGCTAAAACCCTAAAACTTAACCGCGAAATCCTAATATCCTAATCTAGTATGATCCGATTGTTTGGTTGTTTTTTTATTGCATACTAGATCAATCTTCTAGGGTTGATTTCATCCATATATAACATGATTGTTTAGAAAAACACTTGCTAAAGACAAGCATGGCTCGGTCTTAAATACCGCATGACTTGGTCTAACCGATTACATGAGTTCTCATTTAACTCTATATATTATAGATGTCAGAAATCAACTATTATGAATACACGGCACTCAATGCCTCTGGTGACAATTATTTACAATGGGCTTTGGACACCGAGATTGTCCTAAAGGAAAAAGGGTTTGGTGAATCTATTGTGGAAGGAAACAATGTCACCATAAGAGAAAGATATAAGGCGATTACTAACATACGCCATCACCTCGATGAGAGTCTCAAAATCAGTACCTCACTATTAAGAATCCTCTGGACCTCAGGACAGAGTTGAAAAAAAAATATATATATATATATATATATAACCACCAAACAACGGTGCTATTTCCCAAAAGCCCGATTCGATCGGAAGAATCTCAGATTCCAGGAATTCAAGTCCATGAATGAGTATAACTCAGCACTATTTAAAATAGTGTCAATACTGAGATTCCGTGGTGAGGAAGTTACTGAGAATGACTTGCTAGAGAAAGCATTCTCGACCTTTCACACAAACAATATATTGCTTAGCAACAATATCGTGAAAAGGTTTTTACCACATATGCAAGTCTAAACTCTTGTTTTGCTACTTGCTGAGCAAAACAATGAGTTATAAATAGTGAAATGAGACCTCCTGGTCCTACCCCATTATCAGAAGCCCATTGGGCTGAAGAGCCTAAAGAGCCTAAAGAGCCTAAAGAGACTAAAGAGTCTAACCACGTCCAAAGAGATAAGTATCATGGCCACAGTCATGGTAAATGGAATGAACGTGGTAGAAGTGGCAATTATAATTTATATGATCAAGGAAACTATTCATATGGTTAAGGCCGCCGACCCGACTTTGGTCGTAATCGAGGTAGAGGCCGCGGTATTCCCAAACCACAATACTCAAATAAACTTGTTTGCCACTGATGAGGAATGGGGAAACCATTGGACTAAGACGTGCAGGACACCTAAGCATCTCGTTGATCTCTAACAAGAGAGTTTGAAAAGAATCTAGAAGCTCATTTAGTTCATCACGATGGTAAAGACATGGTTCATTAGCCAAATTGATTGACTTTGAATTGATTGATTTATGAGTTATGAGAATTCAATAAACGAAATATCTAAAGACATGGTTCATTAGCCAAATTGCGGGTATAGCTAAATTTAGTGATGGCTAAGGGCAGCCCCATGGCAGCCCCATATTCCCAAGGGCACGCATCCTCAGATGCTTCATATTCACCCAGCGCAAAGGGGCTTGTTGAGTTTCAAAGAAATGTGTTTGAAATGGTTTCCACATTAAAACTAAGGGTGAAGGGAACAAAGGATTCCCATATATTACTAAGAGCACCCAAGACCATGAGAAGGTCTTAGAGACTATACCCGCGTCATAGACCTTTACTATGCCAAGGTCAATATGATAGAAGCTAATACAGTAAACAAAATGGTTTACTAAGAAATTCACTAATGGCATGACCGGCTTGGCCAGCCTGGTTCTAACATGATGCGTAAAGCTGATATTAAAATCAAAAGGGCATACCCCTTAAGGACCTCACGTGTGTAGCATGTACACAAGGGAAACTCATACTAAGGCCATCACCAGTCAAAGCAACTAGAAACTTGGTGTTTGCTAGATTGCTGGCCCAGACCATATGTCTGTGAGCCCACATACTTAAGACTATATGTCTAGATAATGCTGGTAAATTATGTCCGAAGCGTTTTTATGGCTACAATATGTCCATGAGGGGGAGAGTAGTATACCCCGTGGCACATGTCCATACTTGAACTCACAGTAGCTGCTTGGGGACACGCAATATTACATGCAACAAGAGCTTATACGCATCAGGCCATTCTAGTGAGCATAGATATTCACCATCCCAACTACTCACAGGTCATGAGCCAGATATGTCCCATCTAAAGACATTTGGGTATGTCACCTATTTACCCATAGCACCACCACAGAGAGCAAATAATGGGACCTCAAAAGGGGATGGGAATATACGTTAAAAATGATTCTCCCACCATAATTAAGTATCTCGAGCCAAAGGCCAGATACAAGGATTGTCGTCTCAATGAATCCGTTATCCCAACACTGGGTGGAGAGACTAACAAGCTGGTCAAAGAACTTACATGGAATCAAACATCCTTCACATGGCAAGATCCTCGGACTCCATCAGGGATCCAAAAGACTATATATCTGCAAAAGCTAGCTAAAACAGTTGCCAAGATTCCTATAATGACCCAAAGAGAGTAACAAAATCGTACATATCAGCTTGTAATGCACCAGTACGTATTGATGTTCACAAGGAACACAATCAAGTTGCTACAGAGGCTACAACACGTAAGAAACGTGGTAGACCCAAAAGGTTCCAAAGACAAGAACCCTCGGAAATCAAAGAAAGGTGCAAGGGAAACCGAGAAGGTTCAAGAAACCATAGACATGGCCGGCTACTAGACATAACCCTAAGGTACCAATCAATGAGGTTTGGGACGCCAAACCTCAAGGTCCTGAAGGTGTAAAGAGATCTCTATAAACTATATCATGTCTAGAATACAATGGAACCGAAAAGATGTCGACATCAATGATAATATATTTGCGCACAAGGTAGCAACTGAAATAAATGAGGATCAGGAGCCCACGTCTATACTAGAGTGCACTCAAAGACCTGATTGATTAAAATGGTACAAGACCATAAAACGTGGAGCTAAGAATCAATGTAAAGCCAGTGGGACAAATGTGTCTTTGTGATTGTGTGAAATAAACATAGTGAAAGCTTGATATATCAGACACGGCTTGTCGCACAAGGATTCACACAAAGACCAGAAATAGAGGAGATATACTCCCCTGTGGTGGATGCTAAGACATTTAAATTTTTGCTAAGTCTGGCTATATAAAAGAGAAAGACTTGATTTGCGGCTAATGGATGTAATGCCTGCATATTTATATAAGTCCACTGGATAATATATGAGATTACCAGAGGGTATTGAGCTCAAAGATAAGAAAGATTTTCGAGAACAGCACTGCATAAGGCTGGACAAATCCTTATATGGACTGAAACAAAGCGGACGTATGTGGTATAACCGGTTAAGCGAATATCTCATCAGAGAAGGCTATAAAAACGATCCGATCAGTCCATGTATTTTTATCAAGAAGTTTGCAAACAAAGGATTTGTAATCATAGCAGTGTATATGAATGATTTAAACCTCTGGGTAATCGCCCAAACAGTTGAGTATATCTAAAGAAAGAATCTCAAATGAAAGACCTAGGCAATAATTAAGTTCTGTTTGGGATTACAACCTGAGTACGTGAATAATGGAATCCTTGTGCATCAAATGGCATACACTGAAAGAGTACTCAAGGAGATTTAATAAGGACCAGGCCCGCCCATTGACCAGGCCCAATGGTGGTGAGAAGCCTCAGATTGGATAGTGATCCATTTAGTCCAGAAATGCCATACCTCAGTGCCATAAGAGTTCTAATGAATTTGGCTAGACACACTAGACCAAACATTTGTTTTGCCGTGAGTCTCCTATCTAAATTTAGTTCATGATCAACCCAAAGGCACTGGAAAGGTTTAAAGGAAGGTTTGGTTAAATTTTAAAGTTTATTCTTCCTGCGTTGTTTACTTGGGTTTATTCTATACTGATCTAACCAAAGAAGGTCCAGTTTGCATTGGTTTAGTTTGATTTGCTGATGCAGGTTATTCATAAGATCCGGTCAAGTGAGAATTCAGCCGACCTATTCACCAAATCATTGCCGACTTCAACGTTCCGGAAGCTCATTCATCAGATCGGGATGCGCGGACTTAAGGATCTACAGTGATGCTCATATCAGGGGGAGTAATGAGTGTTGTACTCTTTTTCCTTCACCATGGTTTTGTCCCACTGGGTTTTCCTGGTAAGGTTTTAATGAGGCAACATTCCCCAGCGCATTATAGAGATCCCGGTTTAGTATCGGGCACGGTTATGTCTTCCAAGGGGGAGTGTTATAAACCATATGGATGGACTCCATAACCGGCCCATGGCCCATTAGGGTTTTACCTTATTCTCTGTATCCTGCTATTATCCTTGTATATATATCCCTTTGTCTATTAATGAAAGACACAGTTTACAACAAGTTTCACTTTTAATTTAAAATAAATAAATGAGGACTAAAAGTAATGACGGCATTCTCGTCTAGACAACTCCTCCTATATAAACAGAGAAACCCATCTTCCAAGTCAACAACATTACAAAACCCACAACAAAAGAAAAGCTTCACTAGTCCTAACTCTTAAAACTTAGTTCAGCCTAAGAACACAAAAACTTTTGTAAAAATGGTTGACGACACCCGAAACACCCTTTTCGTCTTCCGACCAGACCAGCAGGCTCTTGCACCTCAATCTCGGACTCCATTCTCAGCCGTGACAGCGCACCGTGCCACAGCCATACGACGGTGCCGCCTCATGATCTCTGTCACAACCCTAGAAATGATCCTTGAGGAAGAGATAACACCAGAAGAAGGTCATCCAAACATTACCCCTGCGATGGATTCTCTTGCGGTGACCTCTTGTTTCTAGGACATCAAGAAACAAGTTTCTTTTCTGTTTAACCGAAGCTGCAAGTACTCTTGATGATCTTCACCACAAATATTATGATTTTCCTGTAATAGTTAAGTTAGTGTCTCATGCCGTTTGTGGGTTTGTTTTCAGAAGTCTCTTCAAATTTTCTTCTTTTGTAGTTTCCACCGGATAATAATTAATCTTGTGAAACTGTTGTTTGAAAATATGTTCTTATTGGTTTCACAACCGAAAGAACATATTTTTTTGTTGAATTAATAAGAATTTACTTCTGTCATATTCTTATTATACTATTTATTTAATTTTATTGCTGGTTAAATGTTATTGAGAAAAAAAAAACGTTAATTTGGAATGTACTTGTAATAGTCTAAGTGTCTAAATTATCCGAAATATAAATACATAGCTATAATATATTAGTAATATTTATACTTGTAATAGTCTAAGTGTCTAAATTATTCGGATGCTAAGATATTTTCGGATGTTTTAGCTACTTTTGGTTAGATTAGGGTATAAAATACTTGAAATTTATAGATTTTCTGAGTATTTTCAATACTTTTCATAGAATCGGATACAAATTTTTAAATATTTGGATACTTCGGGTAAACCCGAATCCGAACCCGAAATACCCGACCCGAACCCGATCCGAACCCGAAGTTTTAAAATACCCGAACGGGTCTTAGTTTTCTAAATCCGAAAAACCCGACCCCGAAAAACCCGACCCGAACCCGACCCGAATATCCGAACGCCCAAGCCTAGTAAGTCCAAGTAAGTGAATAGGGAACGGGAACGTGAATCATGAATCATGAATCATGAATGAGAAATCGATAATATAAATCGAGATTTTTGTAGATGTCAAAAAAATAAATTAAAAAACGAGATTTTGGTATAAAATAAAAACGAAATTTCAATTTTGAGGAACAAGAATATTTGTACAGTATGTTTATTTCTTGGATTACAATGTAAAATTGCGTAAAAGGTATGAACCGGTAATTGAGACGGTTTATTGAACCGGAAGTATAATGTCACCAAATTACCGGTTTGATCTGATGTATATCGTTAAACCTTTTCTCTAACATCACAAGCTCGTCTGTTCTGTCTGTCCGCCAAAGTTCTAAAACCCTAATCTCACAAAACCCTTCTCCCTCCCTTGGTCCGCATCTCTCTCTCACTGCTTCAATGGCGTCTTTTGAGCGTTTTGACGACATGTGTGACTTCAGATTGAAACCTAAGATTCTCCGAAACCTTCTGTCCGAATATGTTCCCAACGAGAAGCAGCCTCTCACCAACTTTCTATCACTCTCCAAGGTTGTATCAACCATCTCCACACATAAGCTCTTATCTGAGTCTCCTCCAGCTTCAATTGACCAGAAGCTTCATGCTAATTCGAAATCAGCCGTTGATGATTGGGTTGCTAGATTATTGGCTTTGATTTCTTCAGATATGGTACGAAATCTGTCTTCAATTACTCTGTTTTTGGAATCAAATTACTTTCTGTGAAAGTTTTCGACTTTGGTGTTAATCTGTGTGAATTATGTGTTGTTGTTGTTATAGCCAGATAAAAGCTGGGTGGGTATTTGTTTGATTGGAGTAACATGTCAAGAATGCAGCTCAGATCGTTTCTTTAGGTCCTACTCTGTTTGGTTTAACAGTTTGTTGTCACATCTTAAGGTATGTTTTGGCTTGCTCTATAGTTAGATTTGTTCCATCTTCTAGAATTTGTTTTGAAAGTTTAATGTTTTGTTTTTGTTTTAATCAGAATCCAGCAAGTTCTAGAATTGTCCGAGTGGCTTCATGTACCTCAATCTCTGATCTCCTTACAAGGTCTGTATAAATTTGAATCTGTTCTACTTGGTTTTTCCAATCTTTTGCTGCTATTCGTTATCTTCAATTTCCTCTGTTTCGTGTTTGATAATGGATCAAAGCCTGGCATTATATACCCTGAGAAGTCTATGTATATCAGATTGATTTAGTATTGAGAACTATGAATGATGTACTCTGCGGAGGCTGTTATTTCAGCTAATCTATCTAACTTCTTTTACTTCTATTGTTAAATTTTTGGCTTTTGTCTTATGGGACTTTCATATTGCACGTCATTATTCCACTCTTATGTTGATACCATTTCCTTGGGATTGCCTTTCAATCTTTTTGTAACAAGGACTTTTGGGAATCTAAGATACTTTTTTATTTATATTCAATCAGGTTGTCTAGATTTTCGAATACGAAGAAAGATGCAGTTTCACACGCTTCGAAAGTAATCCTGCCTATCATTAAATTATTGGATGAAGATTCTTCAGAAGCACTATTGGTAAGTGCCACATTTAAGAAGACCTTTCTTATGATTTAGTAATATTATGTCCTCTAGATGGTGCCCTTTCTTTGTGGAGATTATTTTTATTCCTTAACACTCTTGAAGCCAACCTGGAATTATAAAGAAAGAGTTAGCTTCATTCCTATGATCTTGGTTTTATGCCAAGACTGTCCTACCACTTTGATATATATGTTTAGCATGTAGAGCTATGATTTAGTTCCTCTATATGAATTACATTTAGCAGAATCATAACCTACTAGGACTGCTGATTGCTATAAGAATTTAGCGAAGTATCATATATATATTAGCAACAATAATTCTGCTAATGTCATTGCTAGAATCCTCAATTTGAATTAATGATTGGCATTGGATGTGCAGGAAGGCATTGTCCATCTGCTAAGTACAATTGTACTCTTGTTTCCTGCTGCCTTCCACAGTAATTATGACAAGGTCAGCTCTCTTCGCTTCTTAAATCTATTTTCTGTTTATCTATTTCCTGAACTTATTAGCTCCAGTATTTTGATAGCTACATGACAACAGTTCATAGTCTAATGATTACACGCACATGTGCCTAGATGGTAACATTAATATTTGAAAAATGTCTGGTGACTATGATATTAACTTTATATTGAGTTTATTTGAAATGCTATTTCCTTGCAGGTTGAAGCCGCTATTGCCTCCAAAATATTTTCTTCGAAAACCAGTTCTAATATGTTAAAGGTATCTTTTTATATATTCTCTATTTCATCATATTTTCCAGCAACTAAGCAAGGAAATATTAACGTGCACTTCTTTCTTTCTATCTCAACCTTCAGAAATTTGCCCGCTTTCTAGCATTGCTCCCCAAAGCTAAAGGGGACGGGGGCACCTGGTCCTTGATGATGCAAAAGCTGCTGATATCTATAAATGTACATTTAAATAACTTTTTCCAAGGTCTAGAAGAAGGTAATTTGTTAATTTCTTTGTTCTTTTTATTTGTATGCGGCTATAGTTTCCTGAAAGAACACGGTGACATGTATTGCAGAAACAAAAGGAACAAAAGCAATCCAACGATTGACTCCTCCTGGAAAAGACTCTCCTTTGCCCTTGGGAGGTCAAAATGGGGGTTTGGATGATGCAGCATGGAACTCTGAACAATTGATTGTATCCAGAGTTTCTGCTCTTATGTTCTGCAGCTCAACGATGTTAACTAGCCCGTACAAATCCAAGGTAGTGCGGTATCATTTTTCTGTTGGATTATCTATGTTTCCTCTTAATTTTAGACCGGGATAGAGTTAGTTTTTTCGTACTTAGTCATAAATAGATCGGTGTGCAATTTGGGTGTCTAGATTAAGGATCATTGTTAAAGCATCAAGTTAAGCATGTCCCTGCTTATCCCGTGTCCAAAGTTTGGATTGCTGCTCAGCAGACTCCTTCCGGCTCTCTTGATATGTGCTACTACGTAATCCAGACATGCCATTTGCTTCAAAAAAAATTCTGATATTCTTTCTTTTAACCTTCAGATTAATATTCCAGTTGGCTCATTATTATCCCTTGTTGAGCGAGTGCTGGTGGTGAACGGCTCTCTACCTCGAGGCATGTCACCCTTCATGACAGGGATCCAACAAGAATTGGTTTGTGCAGAACTTCCAGATTTGCATTCGTCTGCTCTGGAACTCTTGCGCGCTACTATAAAGAGTATCCGCAGGTAAACCGGTCTACTTTTATTCTCGCTAGTAGAATCAGCTATGATTTCCATTTAACCTAGATTGTTGTTACCTTCATTGGCGAAAACTATATATTGTTCCTTTGGTAGTTTATCTCTTGACTGAAAATAGTTTGGCACTTCTAGTTTTTCCAAATAATGGATTGTTACTACACCTTCACGTGCCTTAGGAACTAAACAACATCCTCGTATTGATTCATTTTGCAGCCAACTTTTACCATATGCTGCATCTGTGGTGAGACTTCTTAGTAGCTACTTCAGGAAATGTTCATTGCCAGAATTGAGGATAAAGCTCTACTCAATCACTACAACCTTACTCAAATCCATGGGTATAGGTAATTTCACAAGATCTTGCCTTTGCTTGCATTTTCATTTCTCAGGGTGATGTGATGAAAATCAAGATCATTTCTGCTAACATACTTCTCTGACCAGGAATGGCAATGCAACTGGCACAGGAAGTTGTCACTAATGCCTCTGTGGATCTAGACCAGAAGAGTTTAGAAGGATTTGATGCGGCATCTAGCAAAAACCCGTCGCTTACTAACGGAGCTCTTCTTCAGGCTTGCAGTAAAAAAAGGAAGCACTCAGGAGTCGAGGCAGAAAATTCTGCTGTTGAAGTGGGAGTCCCTCGTAATCACTCGAGAAGCCCGATTTCATTGAAGATAGCATCTCTTGAGGCACTGGAAACTCTTCTCACCATTGTAAGCTCTATTAAACTTTTTACTATCAAAATTCGGCTTTTTGTCGACACTGTTGAAAACTTAGTACAAAGTTATTAGTTACTTGAATTCTACTCATAGTCACCATATTTCTTCTTTGTGATTCTGTTATAACAATATGATAGGTTATCAAATATTTATTCTTTTCTTTCGGGTTTCAGGGTGGTGCATTGGGATCGGATAGCTGGAGAGAACGTGTTGATAATCTTCTTCTGACCACTGCAACAAATGCCTGTGAAGGGAGATGGGCCAATGCTGAAACCTACCAATGTTTACCCAATAAGTCGACTACGGATCTGGTTGAGTTTCAGCTTGCAGCACTCCGTGCCTTTTCGGCATCTCTCGTTTCTCCATCACGAGTACGCCCTGCATTTTTAGCTGAAGGACTTGAGCTTTTCCGAACAGGTAACTAAGATTGTTGGCATGAATCTTAGTGCTTTAAAACCCAGAAATCTTGAGTAGTTGATTCATATATATTGGCTTTGAACAGGTAAACTTCAGGCAGGTATGGAAGTTGCCGGATTTTGTGCTCACGCTCTCATGTCCCTTGAAGTTGTTATACATCCGAGGGCACTTCCACTCGATGGTCTCCCGTCACTTGGCAACCGATTTCCAGAAAGCAATTCTCTTGCCAGCCAAAAACACAACACACCTAATCTGAATAAGTTGAACGTTATTGCTCATGATGGTGATGATCTAGGCAATAGATGGCTGGCAAACGCGGATGTTCCTTCTAACAATGTGATTCAGAGAACCTTAGACACGACTTTACCTCTCCAAGAGACCAAAAGATTGAAAGTTGGGAATGATTTAGCTACTGTCGTATCTCTGGGTGTCGAAGATCATACGGATATGGTTGCATCAGAGAATGTTCAACAAGCTGATGTGCCTGAGAAGGTTCCTGAGGAATCTCTAGGACAGGTTTCAGACAAAGATGCTATGGCCCCCAAAGACGGTTATCAAGAAGTAGAGAGTGGGACTCGAGATGGAGAGGATTTAGCGGTTAAGGATAGTCTGATGGTGGAAGCATCAATTGGTGAGAAGAAAGAGTCCTTTGGGGAATCTGATGATGATTCTATTCCTAGTCTTCAGGAAAGTGATTTTCTCTCTTCTGATTCTGATTCTGATATTGAATCCTAATGCAAGACAAAAGAGTTCACAACTCTGTCTTAGAAGAATTTTGTTTCTTTTAAGTTAAAGGTTTGATCATATGATTATACCTCTTTTTTAATGTAAGATGTTTCAGATTTGTGAGAGTTTAACTCCTTCCTAGTTTTGTTTCAAATTGTTCACCACTTTCAAATGCTCACTAACATTGCTGCCAAAGCAGCCATAACCAAAGTAGCGATTGTAATATATGAAGTTGATTCTTTCATTTAAATCTTCCAATCGACAGTTGTTTCAAGGGTAAGAGATTAACCAATACGAAGCTACAAATCAAGGAGAAACTTGTGGTCATTGAAGCTAATACTACTCCCTCTTAGTGTCTATCTTTGTGCCTAAGTCGATTGAGTAACAGTTTTAACACTAATCTTCTCAAATTAAATGTCTAGAGATCATAATTATACAATTTTATCGGCTAGAATTCCTATAATCACAAAACCATATCAGTCCTCACTTATTACTAGTTTTAGCTCAAAACCTGCACTTTATTCTGCAGCCTCGTATCAAATGATTTTAAGGGAAAATTGCTAAGGATTCACAAAGGGAAAGGAAGAAGCAGAGAATGGTCATACACAAAGAAAACGCAATACTGAATTGTCATTCTTCATTAAATATCAAAATGGATCAGAGATGGCAAAAGACATAGCAGAGTCAAAACAACAGTCTACAAAAACTTGGGAAACTGAATATAGAAGAAGAAGCAGACAACATGAACACAGACATTCCTTGAAGCTTTCTCCATCCTCCTGCATTATGATTCAATCCAACATACACAGTTACACACCGCATTATCTTATAAAAGATCACAGCTTTAAAAGAATTACGAATAGGTTCATGAAACTTACAAATCTTGTTGAAGGCAACAATGTCACAGCTCTGGACGTATTCATTGATCGGTTCAACAGTGAGTGTCTCTTCGATCATGGTGTCAATAGAGACAAGGTCATCAACAATGGTGCACATAATCTGCAACTTCTTGATACCATAACCAACTGGGACAAGCTTTGATGCTCCCCAAAACAAACCTTCCATCTGAATGGATCTCACACATTCCTCTAGCTTCTTCATGTCGGTCTCATCATCCCACGGCTTGATATCAATCAAAACTGAGGACTTTCCAGCTGATCAAGAAAAAAAACAATGAGAAATCCAAGGCATCTTCATATCATAAACTACAAGTGTAGAACAAAAACCCAAACTTACATTCCTTCTTCTTTGTAGAAGCCTTGACAGAAGCTGCTCTCTCTTCAGCAGCTTTCTTTTCCTCTTCGGTCTCCTCTCCGAAAAGGTCAACATCATCATCATCTTCTTCATCAGCCGCGGAATCCTTAAAAACACACACATTTATATGAATCTCCCAATGCACAACTTTACAAAAACATTATGAGAAACCATAGAAACAATTCAAGCTTACCTTAGACTCAGCAGCAGGGGGAGTAGCAACAGCCTCCTCAGTAATAGGGGCTGCTCCCTCAACAACTACACCGCTTCCTTCAGCAGAGACACCGCTGTAAATAGAAACATAATTATAAAGAAACAACATTAGATTAACCCAAACAGCAAACAACTTTAATCCGTAAGTAAATAGAAAACAATAGAAGGCAATGGAGCTTACGAGATCCTCAAGAGGGCATCAATGTGGTTGTACCAACGAGATGCGTTCACATACTGTGAAGTTGGGGGCTTTGCAAGAGCTGCAAAGACAGTGATATCGTCCTTAGAAGCCTGGTACCTGTAAACATTAACAACAGAAACCAATTATTACTCCTATTGTTCAAAAAGATAGAGATTAAATCTATTAGAGACGTTCACAACTTGATTGAGACAACACTTGAAAAAAAAGACAAATTTAAGAAATTGAAAGTTACCCAGTGATGTAACTGCGAGTGAGAAGATGCTCATCGAGCTTCTTCAATCCAGAATCAGAGCTAAGGTTGGGGAATGCTGCCATTATTTCTGAAGCTTGAACCTTTTCACTGATATAAAGTAGATCAGAACAAATCAACTACTAAAAGTCTAAAACACCAATGATTCAGAGAAAAAAAACGAAACTTTCTACTGCTACCAAACTTTGGATTCACTAAGACATTACTTAAGATCATCAAGAAGATCCTACAAGACCCATTGATCTACTGTTCCTAGTCATGGGGATCAACAAGATTTTGTTTGACAAATATACAAATTTTGAATTTCCAATCAAATACTATTACAACTAAGTATACTTTGAGATCGAAACAAACCTAACGGGAGGCGTAAGAACAATTGATCTAACGAGAGAAATCGAAGAACAAACCTGAGCTAAAAGGTGCAGACTTTGAAGATGAAGAGCGAAGGAGGCAGAGGAGGAAGCCGCAGAGTTGATAGGAAACTTATTTAACCTTCTAGGTTTTTTTTTCTCTAGTGGGCCTATTTTGGGCCCATTTAATTCCTCAGTTAGGCCTTTTTCCTTTTTTCTTGGTGGGTTTTTACACAAAAATTAATAAACAAATGATAAATCTGTCTATGAATCAAAATATAAAAGGCTGGTGATATTTTTAAGTGAACCATGAGAAGTGTATAATGAACCAAAATTCCAGAGTTTCAGTTAGGAATAAATTAGCATTAATCAGAAAGTCAAAACTTCTGAAAAAAGTAATAACAAGAAAAAATCTATAGGTTTATTAATAAGGTAATTTAGAATGATTTATGGAAAGATTAGATGTGTATGTATCTTACAAAATTCATCAATTTTCCTCTCTGATTAGTTGTCACTTTTTCTCTTTTAAGTTGTCATTTACTAACAAAATATTAAATGGGATTGATTTTGAAAATGATTGGTCACCCTCTTTGTTTTTCCTTTTTAAATTTAATGTATAAGAAATTATCTAATACTATGTTGATATTAGTTATATCAGCGCCAAAAACTGGCATAGCTACTTAAGCAAAATCGTAATATCAAGTTCTTACTATTTTCTTAAGATGGAGTTGAGACCATTTGTTGGATCTCACAAGCACAACGCCAAGAAAATCTTAGTATATATACCAAGTTTTCATGTTTACAAACAAACACCACTTTAATATATTTTTATTAGTTAACTTTTTTCAAAGTATTATTAGTTATTTATTATATAAAAAAAAATATGACATCACTTATAAAAAAACCTAAAATTTACAAAACCTTTGCCCAAAAAGAAACTTTAGAAAACCTAAACACTTATGATATTCTTTTGTATAGTTTCTTAACACTTACTCTTCTTATACGTTTAATAAGTTGAATGTAGGTTTTGAGACGTTTTTTTATAAAAATTGTTCAACTTTTCTATATGGGAAATATGATTCTATAACCATAAAAAATTTAATAATTAAGAAACTAGCACCTAACAAAAATTTTGTTGATATTCTCTATATTTTATGTATAATCCCAGTTTTGCCCTTTCTCTCTCCTTAGAGTTTTCTTCCCCATCGATTCACCTTCACTTTCATATTATCACAGTCTTTTTTTTTTTTTGCCAAGACATCATGAAAAAAGTGTGTGCAGTTCTTCCAACTCACATCCTTTCTCTTCGTTGAATCCGGTTTCATCACCAAGACTATGGAATCTCCGATGGATCCAGCGTTGTGCTTGAGTTTTCGTGGCGGTTGTGAGATGCTATCGCCGAACAATACGGCAGTAATATCGGGAAGGATCTCACATCAGCCTCATACCAGAAATTCTCAATCTCGACGCCCATGAGCAATTGTTTATGAAAGTGAATTTTAGAAACATGCATTAGCTAATTGGTTTTTGAAATTGTTCATGATGAATAGGATTAACAAAATCTCACTGGAAATTCTAATGAGATTTGGCTAATAAATCGATTTTGATTTTCGGAGATTTTTGAGAGATACTATTCTATTTTGTGAGTATTATTTACGTTTATCTTGTACTATATGTGAAATTGTATTATTCTATTTTGGCTAATAGTATTGTTTGTTTTGATTAAAGGTGTTACTATGATATTGCATGTCATTGTCATGATAAGGGTGTTTTCATTGGCAAACCACAATATGTGAAATTGTATATCATTAGTGTTTTGTTCTTGGTTTTTTTTTGTCTATACTATTTTTTTGTGTGTTCTACACTTCTACTTCTAAATAGACCAAATGTTTTAATTTGTAACCAATTTTCTATTTTGTAATAATTTATGTTCATTTTCAAAAATTCAAACCACGACGTAATCAGAAAAAATCTATTTTTTTCAATATAGTTGGGAGTCTGAATCAGTTTATATTGAAGAGATTTTTTAGCAAGAAAATTTGATGGGGGTGAAATACTATTATCGAAAAAATGAATTAAAAAAAAAATTCTGATGCAACTAATCCCTTTTCTTATACGTTCGTCACGTCAGCCCAAACTAATCTTTTCCACTGCGCGTCCAAAAGCAGCAACGAAGGAGTTTGTGGACATTTCATCCCCTATACATGTTACTTACTTAATTTTTGATTTTATGATGCTATATTCTTAAATACTTTATCAAAATTGGCTACTTTTGCAAATGACCCTTTCTATATTCTTATCACTTTTTTTTTCGTAAAAACAAAAAGCTTCAAATTTTGCGGGGAACAAAAGTAACAAGATAGTTTGGCCAAAGAAGTACTTTTGTTTCTTATAGTTTGGCCAAAGAAGTACTTTTGTTTCTTTTCAAAATTCCTTCTTGTTGAGAAAAAGGATTTCAGATTCCAATTGAGTTAGAAAGTAATTTCGAGTGGAAGGCTCTCTCTCTCTTCTCTCTCCCAAATCTTTTAGAGAGAGGGGGCGACTTGTTCTTCTTTTTGGCCGTCCGGTTTGTTATCCGGCTCTTGCCTATCAACTATCGGCTCATATAGCGATGGTTGGATAGTTCTTTGTCTGGCATCGATCGGTTCTCGCGACGATGGCTAGCTTTAGGTTCTCTTCGGCGTAGTCCGATCTTCTCTTCTTTCCATGCTTTCTATCACGGTACTTTTGCCGTTGATTATTTTCAGTTTTTTCTCTTTGGATCTGTGATGGTGGTAGCGGATTTCGCTCAACAGTGTCTCTTTGCGATTTACGAAAACTATCTATGAGCTTTGCGAATTCAGTTGAAGATATGAAGCACTTTCCTCAGCATATTATCAAATTGCCTTTAGCTGTTAATTGTTTTTAGAGATTCGGTTGGTTTTAATCAATAGTTTCTGGAGTAATTGGATTTATTCTCTTGTTGAATTTAATTATTCCGATGTATTTCCATGTTGCTGTTTTGCTATTGCTGGTGAAAAACAGATGATCTACCGACGATTTACTTATGACGGTGGTTTCTTTACCGGAAAATCGATATCTCCGATGGCGAAGGATGACGATGGGAATCTTTCTTTTGCTCATCTTACACGTGTATTATTACGTGTCTTTGGGTGATCTTTATTGATCCAATCTTCTGCTGTAACGGTGCATTATTGGGCTCTACATGGGCTTGCTTTTGTTTCGTAATCCATTTAGTGTTGGGCTTTCCTTGGCCTTGTAACAAATAAGTTTATTGAATAAAATCCATCATTGAGAAAAAAAAAAAAAAGATTCCAATTGAGTTCCAACGTTCTGGTTCAAAGGCTTCTTTTCATAATCATTTTAAGGGAAGATTTTTTTTCCGGAACATAGAGGTTTAATTCAATTTCAGAACTAATACTATTATATTCTCACATTTCTGTCTATATAATACTTTTCATGTAAAATTTCTTAAAACAATTATATCCATGTAATTTTATTGAAGCAGAAAAGACAGAGAGAATTCTTTTGGCCCTTTTTAAAAATTTGATGAGGGATCAACATCATCGGCTCATATTCTTTTCAGGTAAATATAATCGACATTATTAGATCGATCGAATCGAACTCTAGTAGTCCACTGTAATCTCATAGTCTCACGTCATACAATTGTTGTGTGTAGAAATCCACGTCCACGGTCCACGGTCCACGGTCCACGATCCACGATCCAATTTGGACACTAACAAATACTATCACGTATTTTAATATATAAAAAGTTGTTAAAGTGTCATGTTCGTTAAGTATGCTCGCCACTAAAATCAACTTTAAGTTCCAAAACATCTTAATATTTGTTTCAATCATTTGTGACAAAGGTAAAATTGGATCAACAAAAAAAAAAGAGGGTAGCATAGCATTAGCTTGCATGTGCTACACATCAGGACCAATGCAGGGATAACAAACCAACAAATGTAATTAATCATTGTTCTATACGAGTATATACGTTTTAACTAACTTTTATACTTTTTGTTAGAAGAACCCACCATATATATTTGATATAGTAATATAAAAATTTAATCAGATTAATTTCATAGTCCTTTGTTCTTCAAATCTTTAGTCGAATTTCACGTAATTGACTCTGACCAATTATTAGCTATGTATTATGGATGGAATGGTAGCTATGATATCACCTTAACAGTTTTCATCTTTGAAGTCTTCCTGTCACATCACTTTTTTTATAAGAATATATTCATTATACCATATTTTTTAATTTCAAAGCATGCATGATTAAGTTTTAGATAATTTTTTTTTTTTCAGTTTTATTTTTTATAAATATCTACAACTGATTTAATCATTATGAAAAAAGGTTTCTTTAAAACGGAAAAGGAAAGAAAGGATAAGTCCAAATTCACGAGTTGTAAACTTGTAATACTATCCAGAGTTTGACTAATCATATAATGTATACAACTTTAATTCAATCCCAGTATATTTCCTTTTTCTTATATAAAAATGATCAAATGAAAATGATATTTCACCAAAGTTTTGGTAGTGACGATAAAATTGTTTTGAATTGAACGTCGTCTCCTATAATCATAGACTTCATAGTTCCGGTACAAAGTACAAACCCCATGCACCTCTCAATAAGCCATATTACGAAAGCCCCCTTGTAAAATCATGTCACAATAATCACATAAAGGAACTGATTCCTAACACCCAAAGGATGAAGTTTGGCTTACTCCATAGAGCTCACAAACTACGATAAATCTAATGTTGTCCAACAAACATTACTCACACCGATCCAACCGTCTGGTGGACACCAAAATTCATTCTAATAGATGTTATTCACAATTTCACAGCAAAGGGTAGAATTCATATAGTGCACCGTCTTATTAATTTTAAGACAATGAAAACTCTCAATAGTATTAGTTATTTTGAGTTAATTAATATTGTGTACTTATGTGTTATTGGATAACTAAATTTGTAAGAATTCAAGTGAGCACATAAACTATAAACATTTTGTTAATATAATAATAGTTCTATCCAAATTACCTAGTAAAACTAGATAAAAATATCTTTACATTTTCATCAAAATTTCTATTGAATTATTTTCAAAATAACAGTCCCACAAAAAATCACATAACATTAAATAAATAAATAGCTTTTTCTACGAAATTAGCTATATAAGTACAAACATCGCAAGAATTTAATTTCTTTTAATTTGGAGAAATGATTACAAATAAATAATCCAATCATATATATGTATATAATATTGGAAATGCCTAATTGAATAACACTATGTTTATAAAAACTTGAATTCATTAATAGCCCAGCTAGTGTAACGTTTGGTAACTCTGCTAGTATATAAAAAACATTAAATTGCCATATTATTATAAAAACTTATTTTACTAGTCAATTATGCTTTCATGTAAGTATGTAACGTATGTAGTCAATGTATATACATTATAATATTGTAATTAATGTTGTCATAATTTTATGTGATATTGTAGAAAATTTTCATTAATATACTGAGTAAATAAAAAAACTTGTTTTTGATAATATTATAATTTTTTTCTTAGTATAAAAAGGTAAAATATTCAGATTTGTCATAATGTAAATAAATACCCTAGAAACAAATGTAATAGAATAAATCTAGAGGAAAAAAAAGAAAGATAATAGATGAGTTATCCAAAAAAAAGTAAAAGAAGAAATTTTTTTGAAAAGTCATTGGATTTTTCTAGTAAGTGTCCTGCGTGTTCCATCTCAATTCTCCATTGATTCATTACCACTTATCATTTTCTCACCAGAAAATAAAAAACAGAACACAACACAACAGAGAAACTCACACTCTTTAAGTCTTTATATTGGTTGTTCCGTCTCATTCGACAAACACGCTTATAAAATCTTTTAACCAAAAAAAAAAATGGAGGGAGGAATAATACATGGAGGAGCTGATGAATCAGCTTTCAAAGAATGTTTCTCTCTAACATGGAAGAATCCTTATGTTCTTCGTCTTGCTTTCTCTGCAGGAATCGGTGGTCTTCTCTTTGGTTATGACACTGGTAAGTTTCTTTATTTCTTCTCTATTAATTTTCTCATGCATACACATATATGAGCTTTGAAGCTTGATGTGTTATGTATGTGTATGTATACATGCAGGAGTGATATCAGGAGCTCTGCTTTATATCAGAGATGATTTCAAGTCTGTTGACAGAAATACTTGGTTACAGGTTATGTTTTAATTAATTGTCATTATGTGTGAATTTTTTGGTTAATTATTAGGATTTTTTTTGTTATAAATGGTTGTTGTAGTAATGACATCCCATAAGCAAGAAAGAGATCATGGCGACAAATAAAATCATGACTTTGAGAAATTTCAAAACTTGTTGAGAAAAACTGTTCTGTCTAAAAATGATGTTATTGGTTGTAACAATTTGGCAAAGCATAAATAAAAGCAGATCATCAGGGTTTGAATTCTATTTTAGAGTTTAGTATTTACCGTTAAGAAGCCTCTAAAGCAAGTTTCATGAGCATATATACAAAGATACAAGCAAACACTAAACTTGAAACACACAAAAATGGAAACAGGAGATGATAGTGAGCATGGCGGTTGCAGGAGCCATCGTTGGAGCCGCCATAGGAGGTTGGGCGAACGACAAATTCGGGAGGAGAAGCGCGATTCTCATGGCGGATTTCCTCTTTTTATTAGGAGCTATTATTATGGCGGCTGCTCCTAACCCGTCTCTCCTTGTCGTTGGCCGTGTATTTGTGGGCCTCGGGGTCGGGATGGCCTCGATGACCGCTCCTCTATACATCTCAGAAGCTTCTCCTGCCAAGATTAGAGGAGCGTTGGTCAGTACCAATGGGTTTCTCATTACCGGAGGACAGTTCTTGTCTTACCTCATCAACTTAGCCTTTACCGATGTAAGTAATACTAGCCTAAAGACAGTGAAAGATCACACTTTGGCTAGTTTGGAGGGAAATCATGTTCTGTTTTCTCTGTTTTTTAGGTGACCGGAACGTGGAGATGGATGCTCGGAATCGCCGGAATTCCAGCTCTTTTGCAGTTTATCCTAATGTTTACACTCCCGGAGTCACCTCGTTGGTTATACCGAAAGGTACTTTTGATCTTTTTCTTTTCTCCAAGATTCTGTCACAGACTATGATGAACTAAAATGTGTGTAAACAGGGAAGAGAAGAAGAGGCTAAAGCGATTCTAAGAAGAATATATTCAGCAGAAGATGTAGAACAAGAGATTCGTGCACTTAAAGACTCAGTTGAGTTAGAGATACTCGAAGAAGGATCATCTGAGAAAATCAACATGATCAAACTATGCAAAGCTAAAACCGTTAGACGAGGACTAATAGCTGGTGTTGGTCTCCAAGTGTTTCAACAGTTCGTTGGGATTAACACAGTTATGTATTACAGTCCAACCATTGTTCAGCTCGCCGGTTTCGCTTCAAACAGAACAGCTCTTCTCTTGTCTCTAGTTACCGCAGGACTTAATGCATTTGGTTCTATAATTAGCATTTACTTCATTGATAGAACCGGAAGGAAAAAGCTTTTGATCATTAGTCTTTTCGGAGTCGTTATCTCGCTAGGAATACTAACCGGTGTTTTCTATGAAGCGACTACTCACGCTCCTGCGATTAGCTCACTCGAGACACAAAGGTTCAATAATATTACTTGTCCGGATTATAAGTCAGCTATGAATACCAATGCTTGGGATTGTATGACTTGTTTGAAAGCTTCTTCTCCATCTTGTGGCTACTGTTCCTCTCCCACTGGAAAGGTAAATACATTTCGAAAAAACCGAAATTATATTTTGAATTCAAGATCCTTATTTATATGATGATTGCAGGAACATCCCGGGGCTTGTTGGATCTCTGATGATTCGGTTAAGGACTTATGTCATAACGAAAACAGGCTTTGGTACACGAGAGGATGTCCTAGTAATTTTGGTTGGTTTGCTCTTCTTGGATTGGGACTTTATATCATCTTCTTCTCTCCTGGAATGGGGACTGTTCCATGGATAGTTAACTCAGAGATTTATCCACTGAGATTCAGAGGAGTCTGTGGAGGAATAGCTGCAACTGCAAATTGGATATCAAATTTGATTGTGGCTCAATCTTTTTTGTCATTGACTGAAGCTATTGGGACTTCTTGGACTTTTCTCATCTTTGGAGTGATCTCAGTCATTGCTCTTCTCTTTGTTGTGGTTTGTGTTCCGGAGACAAAAGGAATGCCAATGGAAGAGATTGAGAAGATGCTTGAAGGAAGATCTATGGAGTTTAAGTTTTGGAAGAAAAGATCAAAACTTGTTGAGAAACAAAACCAGAGTGCATGAGAGAAACTCTTTAAAGATTTCATTAGATTATCAATAAGAAAGCACATGTCACTTGTAACTTTGTATTGAAACTTAATTGTGACAATTTAGTGATCTTCTATTTTAAGAACCAGTAAAATTTAGTTTTTATGAATCAACTTATTGGAGCAAGATCCTAGGAGCTAGATCTTACCACATTTGAAATCTCACCAAAATCATTTTGGTAAAGACCAATTACTTATGGATTGATTATATATGAACACACAAAAATACTTTTATAAGAAGCACACACATAATCTGGTTTAATTATTGTCAATGGTTAAGGATACTTGACTCTATAGCTGTCGAGCATGAAGCTGACAAGTACAAGTGTAAGTGCGGATACCAAATATTGTACTTGAACTTTTCCAATTGGTCTTTTCCTCCTTTTGCATTAGAAATTATCTAATAATAAAACCAATTAAAATACCATTTATGTATCATTTCTTTTATATTCTTAATTAATTCGGAAACACAAACCAATTATGTTTAACCTATTATACATTCGAAATACATAACATAATAGAGATACATTGGAGCCAAAAAAGAAGAAGAAGTGAAATTCGATGTGCATGAAAAAAATATTCTAAATGTGCATCAATAAATGCCTTTAGACAGTGACACGTGCTTCGCAGTCTCGAGCCCGTCGTTAGCTCTGTTAACACCGAAACCCAAATATCACCTTCTTTTTACATTGGTCTTCTTAAAAACCAATTCTTAATGGAAGGCACACAAATATTTATACGATTCTGAAATATTCATATGCTTAACATATCCCTAAACGGAATGTATTTGGGTAGCCCAAAGTGGGTTTGTATCGTGTTCGTGTGAGAATCAAGATGAGTTGACCTTTTTTGATAAACTATAACATGAGTCGGGGGAAAAAACGTAAGATGATTATATGTGAATGATCAAAAGGTAGAGTTTAATGTTCATATATTATATGAGATATTGAAACATTATGTGACGACAGACTAAGTATTATGCTATTTGCATACCAACAAAGTCAAATTTGCTTTATTATATCACTCACTGCATCTGGATATATTTACAATTTGCTAAACTTTGCTTTATTATATACAAAGCGAATTTGGACATTGTTTCCCTATCAAGAAAATAGTCTTAATTACAAAGACGTTATTTTGACAAAAAAAAAAAAAAAAAAAAAAAAATTACAAAGACGTTATTGGTCGAAAGTGTAAAGAAGTTCCCAAGTTGACAATAATCTGCTTAGTGCCTTTCCTTTTGTCTTTTCATTATCCTCGCACACTTCTTACATTACTTATTTTTCAAAACTTATTTTTTTATAATTAGTCTTCTAGAATTATATGTTCTTGTGGAAGCCCCCTTGGCTCATTGGTTGACCAAGAGTTAATTAATGCTTCTACACCAAGAGGTCTGGGGTTCGAGTCCCAGATATTGCGATTTATTAATAAATTTGCAGATTAAAGGAGGCAAGTGTGCAGGAGATCTCCAGCGAAGTACAATTATAGTCGTTCGCCAGAATTCTACGCAGAGGGAGAAGTGTCGTCAGGTCGTGGAAACAAAAAAAAAGAATTATATGTTCTTATTTTACTTACCCAATAGCGATAGTTTCAAAGATTTCCTTGGAAGGGAGGTTGAGTATTTGTTCCCAAATTTGAGTCTTTACTTGGAAGAAATTGTTTAGGCTTTAATAAATATTATAAAATAATGGTTCTGGACCGAGAAACGTTATGGACCTAGGTTCATAACTTCTTTTTGTTACAAAAAAAAAAGAATATTTTTACATTACTTTTATACATGAGTCGTATGTTTGGCTTGTCCTACATCGAATCCAAATTGGTCATTACCCATGATATCAACATGTTTTGATTCAAGAAGGTTTTATTTTTCCCTTATTTTAGTTAATTTTGTATTAAAACGTCAATTATATATAAGCAGAAAGAGTTCGAACATAAATGTTGTGGTTGGCGTAGTTCGAGTAAAGCATGCATTTTTAGGTTGACTCAGTGTACTAGTGACCATCGGATTCCGCATTTGCCCAACAAAGATGATGTTGGTCTCGAACATGACCGATAATCTATTTTTCATGATGTGTCATCCCAAAACGCTAGTTATTATACCTAAACAAATATAATTCGAGTTTTCGACTAATAGAGGGCAAATTTTGATATTCCAATACTTAAGTGGCAGAATTGTAAAAAATAGAAAGAAAGAAGGGTAAAAGAGAGAGAACAGAACAGAACTAGGAAAGTACTAAATAGTCCAACCAAACAGTGCACTTGTCTTCCCTTGTCCGAAGGCAACTGTTTGATATTTTTCTCTAACAGGTAATAAATCCCTCCCTCTAGACTCTCTCTCCATTTCCCATTTTCTGCTAATTTTCTTTCACTTTCTCAGCTGATTTTCCTGGGAAAAATATTTATAACAAAAAAACATCCTAAAACCCTACTCAAAAACGAATGTTTTCATGTTATAACTTATATCTATATGACCATTTTGATATAATTTTTTTATCGCAGATCTGTGGATCTTAACACTCTAATGCTTATAATGACGAGATCTAAGCATGAGAACAATACCAAAGGAAGAAAGAAGAAGCTCATGACAAGAATCTGAAGAAAATTAAATTTGTTTTCTTTATCGCCGCCATTGTTGTTCTACAGTGAGCTTGGACAGTTGACACCTGTAATCCAAAGTGAGTTTTCTCTTAGCTTGTTGCTGATTTTTGAGGCAAAACCTTTATTTATATTTAAAAATCTCTGCTTTATTTAATGTATCAAGATTCTTATTTTGCAAACTGCCATCTAATTTAGGGCAAAGCTTATAGCAAGAACAAAATCATTAGAGTCTTGTTCTTCTTCTTCATCTTCTTCAGTTTAAAAATCTCTCCTTTTTGGGTATTTATTATTTTCACCAAAGCTCATAATCTTTAATAAATTCCTATAGGTTTTATAGGTTTTTATATTTAATTTAGGGTTTCTGAAAAAGGCTCTTAAGCTATAGGTCTATAGCTATATACTATGAACATGAATAGACTTTGCAGATCTACAAATTTTTATTATTTTTTTCTGAATTATTTTAGCCTTTGAGCAATGAATTTAATTTCTTCTTACTTTTTTCACAGATTCAAAGTTTATCACTGCAACACACTCAGGCTTTTTACTTATTATCATAGCTCTGATAAAGTATGAGAGTAGTGTTTCAATGGAGGTTGACGAAGACATTGAGTTACAAAAGCATCAAGAACAAAGCAGAAAGCTACAAAGATTCTCAGACGACAACACTGGAATTGTAATGAGGAATTGGAACAATCCATCGTCTCGTATCATTAGGGTTTCACGAGCTTCTGGTGGCAAAGATCGACATAGCAAAGTCTTAACTTCTAAAGGTTTAAGAGATCGAAGAATACGTCTCTCAGTTGCTACAGCAATCCAGTTCTATGATCTTCAAGATCGTCTTGGATTTGATCAACCAAGTAAAGCTGTTGAATGGTTAATCAATGCAGCTTCTGATTCAATCACTGATCTTCCTTTGATTAACACAAATTTTGATCATCTTGAGAATCAAGACCAGAATCAGAACCAGACCAAATCTGCTTGTAGTAGTGGAACATCTGAGAGTTCGTTGTTGTCTTTATCAAGGACAGAGATTCGTGGGAAAGCAAGAGAGAGAGCTAGAGAAAGAACAGCTAAAGAAAGAGATAAAGATTTGCAGAATGCTCAAAGCTCATTCACTCAGCTTCTCACCGGCGGTTTTGATCAACCGAGTAATAACCGGAATTGGACCGGTGGTTCTGATTGTTTCAACCCGGTTCAGCTGCAGATGCCGAACTCATCCTCATCATCTCTTCATCAAGAACCAATGAATCAGAATAATCACCCATTCTCCTTTGTACCTGATTACAACTTTGGAATCTCTTCTTCTTCTTCTGCCATTAATGGTGGTTACAGTAGTAGGGGGACCCTTCAGTCCAATTCACAATCTCTCTTTCTCAATAACAACAACATTACTCAAAGGTCATCGATTTCTTCGTCTTCTTCTTCATCTTCTCCAATGGATAGTCAAAGCATTTCCTTTTTCATGGCTACACCTCCGCCTCTTGACCACCATAACCATCAGCTTCCGGAGACTTTTGATGGCCGGTTATATCTTTATTACGGCGAAGGAAACCGGAACTCCGATGATAAAGGAAAGGATAGGAGATAGTAAACAAAATGGCTCCTTTCATCTCTCCCCAATCTTGGTTAGTATTTTTCTATTTTCAAGAACTTGAGTAATTGTTTTCTTGGAAAGAAGTGTATGGATTAGTTAAATGTAGTGATAGTACCATGTTGTTTGATTTGTTAAAATTTGGTTTCTTGATTTCACAAAAGAAAGATATGGTTTATTGGGGCGTGGCATAATTGAGTCATATTTTGTTGGTTTCATAATTTCATTACATTTTTGTGTGTCTCGAAGTAATGACTTTAGGATTATATAATCAATGGCATGTGAATGAATTTGAAAAGAGGGCTTCTTCGTCTGTTTGTCTCCTCATGTGTTCTATGTTGGGTTCCCTTCTTCCTCAGCATCACTCTTGTTCCAATTTGTGATCATTACTTATTTTCTCTAGGGTAGGTCATTTGATTAAATTTGTGTCCCATTTTGATGATTGTGACTGTTTTGATGTATTTATTTCATTCACATCATATATTCACCTATTTTGGACTCCATATGTTTCTGACTAAATCCATGTTCACCAAAAATTCATATTGTTTGAATTATAATTAGTTATATATATTGGTATTGAAAGTTCTTGGTTTAGGAATCTTTGTGGAAATTTATTTTTATATGAATAATGTAGTGAGTTGATGAACTGTTATGGATAAGAAAGATGTTAATTAATATTTAATAATTTGAATGAAAGAATCAACATTTGATAAAAGACTTTGCTATGAAGAAACTTTTGTCCTTTATAGAATATTTTATTATAGAGAAAAAGATGGGAAGTTGAGTGTTTTTTGCCTGGCAAAATTGTTTTAAAACATTGGCCTCCTGAAGTGGCACCACATGCTATGTGTCGGAATCTAATTAACCCATCTCTTCATTGTTGTCCCATGAGATCTTTCCCTTTACTCCGGAGCATCACTCACATTTTAGATCTCTTTCAATTCACATTACATTAGAACATTTTATCTTTGAGTGTTTCTTTTATCTGAAATCTGAATTGGTCTTGGCTGATACATACAACTAATGGAGCTTGGTTGATTGATTCACTCCTTAAATTTTGTACTTTTTTTGGTTTGAGACTATGAGCACTAAAAATTAAAGGAGCTTCTTTAATAACAAAATAGACTTTGGTATCCACATAGCACTGATTTATAAAGGGTTGACTTGTTTCTAGTCATGAGGAATTGTAAGGCTGAGTAAATGAGTTTTTATAGTTTAATAATATCACCTCTCAAATTAGTTGATAATGTATTTTTGTGTGAAGAAAAGATGATTGAACTCCAATTGTTGTTATACAGTACTTGCACATTTCGATTTCATGAGAACGGGGCTCATACTTTCATCAAGATATATGGTTGATGTATGAAATTGCTTCTTGGAATATATGCAGGAGAGGAAGTGTAAGTGAGGGAAGACGATGTTTGCATAGCCCTGAGCATATATTTGGATCCTCCATTTCAATCATAAGCCTGATTGATTGCATGTTCAGACCGCGAGGAGTTGTTTTTGTTTAGTGAGGAAATGTTTATGTAATGAATCATATATATGTCTCTATGTGTGTTCATGTTCATTGTCAAAAACTTTGTCCGAAACTCGGACCAATGTTTTCAGGTCATCCTCATTCTGTTGGCTGCATTGTATGTAGCCTTTTTTTGAGCTTCTAGGTCACAACTGGGGCAATTGAGTGTTCTGGTTCAATTGTTAAAACAAGTAATACAGACTATACAGTTCATGATAGTGGATATGCATTACGAGCTGAATCGGTAATCACAATTGATAATGAAAACTATAAGTCAAATAAGTATACTGTATTGAGTGATAAACAAGAGCATATATCAAATTAGAGAGGGGCTAAAAAGGAAGATCAATGTCTCAAAGGTAGTTAGCTTCAAGAACAGAGTATCCACTATCCAAGTATCAAGAACAGAACAGAAAGTGCCGAAGTAAAGCTTAAAAACATTCATTACAGACTCTTTTGTAACATAATCCCTTACGTGTTACGACGATTCCCATCCTGATATGCGTCTCTTTTAAACAAAGACAACACACATATTCTTGCTCATTCGCAGACATCTTTTACAAGAGTGTATGTACAATGGTGTTCTTCTTCGGTTTCAGAGAACCTCCCTTAGGCATCCTCCATGCCTGCAGATTCGACGCACTCCTCATGACTGGCGAAGCAGTATGTGTCAAAAAGTCAAGAGATTTGCGGTTTTTGGCTTCAGGACATATGTGATCTCTCTGATCCCTTTCCTCCATTCTCCAACATATGTGGATTTGTTTGCTCCCACCATCTGCAAAATGTCTATGATTAACACTGTTAACACCTTCCACATGTATAATATAAATCTAAACCAGATATAAGACTCGAATATGTACGAAAGAGTTTTATTCGTTTTGGTCACAAACCACGCATCAGTAATATTGTTAAGAGGTAAAAGTATAGCAAAAGGAGAATCTAATATATGATCTCAGCTCAAGAAACATCAGCACCCATACGAACGAAGAACATTATACTAAACCCCTCAGACTGGTTCTTGCATCATAAATGATAATCGAATTTCAGAACATTCCTAATGCCACAAAGGGAAGCTAATTCAAACATCCAAAACAGAGCAGTGTACCAAATCATAGAAGGGCAGGCACACTGTATTATACCTGAAACCGGTCATATTGCGAAATCAGAACGAGTTCATCTCAAGACAATAAGTCCTCCTCTTGATCAACATCTTCGCCGCAGTCCCATACGGTTCCTCAAATGCATCAGACAACCAAGAAGCATCACACACTTCCTTCTTCGACTCACTCGGCCTAATAGCCACCAATGTCGCACCTTTCAACATCGTGCCATCAGGTAATTCCAACTGCGGAGCATACCACAACCTCATGTTCAATGCCGGCACAAGCGTCCTCTTCGAAGCGGAAGAAGCCGATAAAGGAGTAACTCTAAGCTCTTCAAGCTGTTCTCTATTCATACACAAAACACCTTGTCCATCAGCATCAGAGAGAACCAAACGATCTAACGTCTTGTGCTCAGTGATAATCGGCTGAAGAAGATAATGCCGAGCCGAGGCGGCGATTAATGAGCTAATCGTCCAAACTACACGGAGCTTAAGTCCTCCATTAGTGTAGAACGACTCAGGTATGTTACCATTGTCTTCATCAACAAAATTCTCAAGATTCTTCACTGAATTCGATCGAATCACCGAAGATGCACCAAGAATCATACAATTATCAAGCGTAGATCCAAAATCAGCTCTCCATTTTAACAAAATACCATCCTCAATCCCTAATTCTCCCGTCGGAAGTTCGATTTTTAAAAACCGAATCTCACCGAAGTTTTTCAATACCTGAGTCGGAGAATGATGCGTAACGCCGATCTCACCGCCGATTTCATCGTTAATCGCTGAAAACGATGCATCAAACGACGACGATGACGATGATCGTTTCGGTACTAGAAACTGCCCTAACGCTTGAAACGGTTTGAAAATTGGAGCGAAGACGAGACGGAACAAGGCGGAGAAAGAACCACCAGCACCGGCGGCGTCAGAAATCGAAGCAGCGTTGAGAGAGAATCGACGATCGTCAGAGTTAGAAGAATCATCATCGGAGATAACACAATCAACACGGACGAGAACGTTCTCAACGAAAGGGACAAGAGAGTGGAATCTACGGGAAACGATGCAGCAACGGCCGAGATCTTTGACGTCGGCGACTTTATCGAAGATTAAGAGGAGGAGAGAGTCAGGGAGAAGATCGAAGTGGTCGAAAGAGGTTAGAGATTGAGGCTCTGGGTGGATTCGAGACACTGGATCGGAGCGAAGAAGATAAGACATGGCTTTGAGAGATTTTTTCAGAGAGTGAGATCTGAGGAAGGGAGAGAGAGAGGAGGAGACTCCATTGATGGATTGATTGGAGAAGATGAAGAGGTGTTGGCTCGTGATTGTTTTTGTCTTTTAGTGAGAGCAGAGAGAGAGAGATGTGTTTTATTTTATTAAATGAGATATCACATTTTTATTTGCTTTGCATGGTTTTATGTAATTAATTGTGGACTAGAATAGGTAAACTCTCTTAATTATTAAAATTACGTAGGTGTTTTACCAAGTAGTACTATTTTAAGAAATCGTAAGTCCTCTGGATAATAAATTAGTTTCGCAATTATGTAGGTGTTTTTCCCATCTGTATATACTTAAAAATTATATTTCGCAGAATCTCAATTTTAAATGTATTTTATTTTATTTTTTTGACAGCAAAAAAATGTATTGTATTAAAAATTAATACTATATATATATATATATATATATTAAAAAAAACTGTCATTCCAAAGGAATTGAAGTTTACTTGTAATGTTTTTCAGTTTATTTATTTTTTGTCATTACTATTTTTGTTTTCCGTATTTAGCAAATCTGCAATATGAAAATTCAAAATTTACTTTTACAAAACCAAATTTTACATAATTTAGCGGAAGCATAAATATGTCTTTCATGATTTTTGTTAGGTATCTTTTTGTTTCAAAAGTATGCAGTGCTATCTTTGACACAAAAAAAAAAAAGCATGCAGTGCTACTCATACGAAGTGTTTTTTTGTTGGACAAGATAAAATTGAATTTTTATAATTTTAAATGTTTTAATTATGTATTGAATTTTAATTTTATTGGTTGGAGTTTAATGAGAGAGAAGGGTAGTGTAGTGTTGTATCATGAGTTGGTAGTGGTACCAAGCTGTTTAATTTTTCTAAATATGTATGCATTAGCAAAACTAATTAGCAATAATTCAAAAAGGAAAAAGACAATAATTTCATATTGGTTATAGGTGAAACCAACCAAGACGTTTTCAATATTTAGATACTCAATTCTGTTCAAATTAGCATGTGACACACATAATATAATAGTTTTGTTAGTACAACCATCGTATCATACTTAATTTAAAATATTGCGATTTTAATAGTTTAAATTTTGGTTAAAATTATTTAAGCTAATTAACATTTTTGAAGTACTTTTTGTACACACATTTGTTTCGATACTTATTTACACATAATGACATTTACATTTAAGACAAAAAGAGCTAAATTCATTAAGGTTCAATTCAACAAAAAAAAAATAATTGCTTCAATCATATCGGATTGTTTAATTATACCAGATATAATATTTTTAAAATTTATAGAAAAATTAAAATATCACGGGACTAGATTATATGGTATGACGGATTTGGGTCGATAGTTATACAAGACGATATACCACAAATGAAATCTTATAATTAACAATCAAAATATAATTATACAATCTTAAACATTAAAAAAAATATTAACAAAACAAATACAACTTAAAATTTAATTTTTTAGTTACAAAAACTTGAGGACAACATATTATTTTCGTGTCATGGAATCTGTCCAACCGACGTTCGTAAACTTGTTTGAAAAACGGTCAGAGACATGGTGGAAGAGAATCTGTTCCACAAGGATGAATGCATTGTGCTTGAGTTAGCACGTGATGCGGCAAGGGCAATGGGTGTTAATGAAGACTCGGTGATGATGAAGTATCTCCATAACAATTGGAATGCAGCTGTGCGGATCCAGAACAAATATTAACCTACGGCACACATAAAGAGTTGTGACCAACCTCCATCTTCACAACCTTAGTTTCTGCCACAGACTCAGCTTCCTCACCAGCTTCTGAAGAGTTGTCTTCCCAAGACAGGTCCTTGTTTTTTACACCATTAGCAGACACTTTTAGAACAATCTTCTGCTGGAATTTTGGCACAAAGTTCACAAATGTGAACTTGGTAACAATTCTTCTTCCAGACAATGTTGGTTTCATGAATCCGGAGCAAGAAAGAGGTAAACCAAAAGAAGCCATGATGAAAAGAAGAAGCAGTAGCAAGAATAGAGAAGAAGCAGTAGCAAGAGTAGAGAAGAAGATAAAATGATGAATGAGATATATAGTGGTGAACATTATATCTCTATCTCTACGAGGAACACATATAGAGATCAAAATTATATCTATATTCTCTAAGTTACGAAAGGAATTACTTACAAATTGGAGAAGATCAGAACAATGAGAAAAAGATGAGAAGACCATCAGCAAAGAGGAAACTATTTTATTACTAAGGAATCAATGTGTTTTGGTGTATAAATAAGGGTATCAAACTCTAAACTTACTTTGCTTTTTCATTTTTAAATTCGGTACTTCTTTCATGTTTTTCTATTTTTTTTTTTATTGGTTGTATTTTAGATTTCTTTCTTTCTTTTAGAGAATGGAACTCAGCAACTTTACCTTCTAAAAGGGGCACCAAACACCATTTGATCTAACAAATAATTATGAGTAGTATTCAAAGCTTTCTAGACAAAATTGCTCCTGAAACATGCCCTGTTTATTTGTGACACATGTGATGCATTACCAAAAGACTTGCAAAAGTATGTAAGAAAGCTTACAAAAATTTTGAAGAATTTATTTTTTGAAAACATATATATAAAAAACATCAAGAACTAAAAAATGACCATTGGATCCAATTTTCCTTACAATTTATTTTTTCCCACGTAAGTATGATCTAACCATATGCAATTCATTTTTTATAAGTATCATAATTTCATTTCAAACCATTCATCTATTACGTACTCAAGAATTTATGTTATGATAAGTAGCCAACAACTGTTGTGATCGGAGATTAACCACTCTGGTGACTACCAAATAAACACTTCAACATAATGTTTTTTGGTATATATTTATTTTAGTTTTTAAATCCTTAACATGTTACAATTAGATATATTCGTTATCCAATATTTTTCAACTATGTCTTACCACTATTTTAATTCCTAACCTCACTCTAATTCATCATGATCGGCAAACACAAACTTTCTGCAATGCTTAAAACGTTTGTCCTTAATCTAATTCTTAATTGCATATTTTAATATTACACGTCTATATCAAACTTTATCCATGAAAACAAATATATATAGTAATGTAAATGTATCTCTGAATAAGTGCTTAGTTATTAATCAATTATCAACCAAATCAACGACATTTTTGTGTGGATATTATAGTGTTTTTTAGCTAATGTCTTAGTCATCCCTAGTGGACGTTTCTGGTATTGTCCATAAATATATAAGGCTCTACGTAAGCATATGCATATCCACATAGAACCATATTTTGCAATCTTGGCTTATAAGTCGCAATACATGGGTCTCCACCAAGTGACGAGTTGGTGCAAATTGCATTTACATTTCTTTTTTAATCATTATTGTTTGACGTATATTACTAAATGAGATTAGGTATATTCGTGAAAAAAATCATGAGACAACTAGATATTAAGTTAAATATTATAAAATTTGAATAAAATTGAGATTTGTTTTCTTAAATTTTAAAGTCAAATCTAAGATAGATAAATATAAATATTTTAATTTAATCTCCAAGTGATATAACCTATCAAAATATAAATATTTTTTTGACCAGCCACTTTTGATTTTTTCTTTTTTTTTTCTACTTCAACCCTCGTCATGTAATATGTTATATCTTTTGCATTACAAATTATCCCCCAAAATTTTTAAAATTATGAATGATAAGTTATGATGAAATATAATAACTGTATTAAAATTAAATTACAATATATAACCAAAGAAATAACTTATAGAGAAAAAGAAATAACCTAAGTTTGCTAAATTAAGATAAATACAAAAATACATTTATTAGTAAGGAATTGTGGGAGTATTGTTTAAAGTTTGGAGTTTGCGTAAATAACATTTTAACGTGAAAACATATCTTGTGATTGGAACAATGCGAGAAAATAATTGGTTGTCAAGATGCGCCAGATCATATTTGCTACGTACACTCAATAATTATAGATACAGAAATGCAATTGCATTTTGCAGGTTTCTATCATTAATGAGGTCCTCATTAATTAATACATTTATAAAAGAAATTTGATTTTGAGTAATGTCTTCGCATTGACCGTACGTTGCAATCCATTTCCACGTTTTTTTTGGGTCCAATTTCACTTGCCATCTCCATCATAAACTAAAATAAAATGTCAATTACATATGCAATTTATCTTGATAACATTTTTGACTGATATCTTATTTTGTTTTAAGAACGATTAAAATCGGATGGTGATTGTTGTATACATTATTTGAATTTATTATCAAGTTGCATTAGTTTTTTGTAGTTCCCTTAAAATATTGACAACAACATTTATTTTATCAACTAATTTGGCTAGATTACATTCACCGGAGACACGGCGTCGCATGTGTCCATGTGTCCTGTCTGTACCTTTCCCGGGAAATTCGTACGGAGATTCACCGCTAACACGCTTTCGTTTGCTTTTAAATTAATCTAAATCATAGAAGCAAATTGTGTATTCCTCACTCTAAATTTAAACGAAACCTCTTGATTTGCTTACAAAATTTTAAGTACATGTTACTAAGGGTTTGAATGGTTATGGTGGTTGAGACGGACAAATCTGTTTGTAAATTGAACTGTTTTTTTGTCTATTATTCATAAAGACAGAAAAATAGAAAAAAAAAATTGTACATACAAACACTTTTACATATAAATAAACTTGGTTCACGATGGATTATTGTCTGTCAAAAAAAAAAATGGTCTAATTCACTAATAGTCCACTTCGCCAGCAACATTTTATTCAAATTTTAAATGTAAAACGAAAACCTGCTATGTGTAGAAAGTAAAATGTTCAAAAAATATTATTCACTGGTTGTCCCCAATATATAATACTTTTGTGGTCCGTTATGTATATGCAAAACTTTTGAAACATTTATAGCTTTGTCTCAAGCCTGTCTTTTTGTTTTCCTTCTTTAGTTTTCGCTGAATCACATATCTATTTTTCATTTTCTCCGTTACTTGGAGCCTTGAAAAGTGAATGCTTTGAAAGCTAGCTTTTGGACGTTTACTAGTCTTCTACAATTATTTCAACATTTCAAGAAAATTCGACATAATTATACGTACCAACCACAACTAATGGACTTATACACTTACATATATCAGGAGATCTCCCATGACATTTTGACTTTGAAAATTTATCCGAAAATCCATATAACCAAAGTCTAACGATACCTTTCTGCCATCATTAGTTTAACTTTGTTGGTGATTATTTTGTGGTCCTCTAGTCATAGAAAAGTTAATAAAAATCCGATCCGAGTTCGATTTCACCGTTCCTCATTGGCAATTGTCTTCGAGTCATTATCATATCTTCAGCATTTTATTTCCAAACACATTTATCACGATCATCATTAATTATTGATATGCATAATAACAACAAACACATTAATGTCGAGGATTCTTTTCAATCTGTACTCGGAAAAACGGTCTATTTCCCCATGAGAAGTATTGTATCACGCTAGATAGAGCCCGTTCTTTGACATCGGTCTATATGTCCATGAAACGGAAGTTAAATACCTATTTCCCCACGAAATGGAAGTTCAATAGCTTAATCTCCCCGAATCTGAAAGTTCGAGATCTATAACCCCATCGTACTGGGTTTAATCGGTTTATTGTATACTTAACCGATAATCTCTTTAACCGAGTACCACTAAATAAATAAATTAATTAATTGAATTATTTTGAAAGAAAAAACAACACGTTTGCTTTCTTCTTCCTTTGGCTTTCTCCCTTTCGATAATGGTAACTGGTAATGTCGGCTCCGTTGATGGTGGCTATAGATCTATTTCGCAGTGGTTCCCCTCTTCTTCTTATTCCTCCTCTCCGCTTCGATCTGCTTCTTAATTAGAGCTTCATCGGCTTTGATTAAACTCGAATCGAGACCATCCCACATTGTTCCACCCATTGAAATCGCATGCTTCGCGATTTTGTGGAAGATTGATATCGCTGAATCCGCCATTGTCGACTTGGTGGTTTGTGTTGATTGTTTTCTGGTTCTTATAAAATTTTCCCGATTGATTTTAAGATGAGAAATCGAACGAACAATGAGAGAATTCGATAAAACAGATTTAGTAATTGAGATTTTGATTTTGTCTAATTAGATTGTTCTTTGTGAATGTAAAATCTCTGCGTGAATCCGAGTTCTAATCAGATCTTCTGTTTCTTTGCAATAGAGGCCCAATCCTTAGCATCGATTCCAGTTTTCCCGTCAATGTTAATATTAACGTTTTTAGGAATTAAAATGTGTTTAAAATGCTTTGTTGAATATCTCTTCATTAATTACGTCAAATTTGAATGCATAAATCTGAAACCCATCATAACAATCAAAGAGAGACATGCACTAATTTTCCAGATAAGCATAATCTGGAATGAGAAGGGGAAGAATGAAGAAGACGAAGAGGGGATGCAATTTGTTATTATTTTTTCTTTTTCATTATTAAAACTCTCTAAATCAAAAATATGGGTCGGTTATCATAAGGAATCAGATCTTTTTTGGTTTGGTTATGACCTAATACATGGTTTCGTCTCGGGTTTATGCACCAAACCGACGTAACCACGATTCAGGGAGATTAAGCTATTGAACTTCCATTTTGTGGGGAAATAGGTATTTAACTTTCGTTTCATGGACATAGAGACCGAGGTCAAAGAATGGGCTCTATCTGGCGTGATACGCATACATCTCATGGGGAAATAGACCGTTTTTCCTCTGTACTCCACTATCTTTTTGATAGAGGCTTCTTTTAGCAAAAACTGTCTTACGAATTCACTTCTATCCTTACTGGAGAATTGACGGGCCTTACGTTTAAAGGCCCACAAAACAGAAACGACCCAAATAGCAAATAGGTTTTATCCCTCAGTTAGAGTATTTTGTCTATCAAGATAGATCATCCCAAATTTTGTTTACAAATTCTACCGGATTGAACCAGTACCTTTCAAAAACATTGATTCCCACATGATCCATTGAAAAAGGAAAACGAACCTCATTCTAGTATATAATTGATTTTGCATCATAATTAATTTTAACCCCAAAATTCCGAAATGTTTTGGTCTATATATTCTCTAGAACAAGTAAATTCAATTACTTAATGCAGCCGGTATTGTCCATGTTTAATCCCTAACTTAAATTTATAAACAAGATTAGAAAAAATATAGTTCTTCCTTTCAAATCTAGACACATGTAACATAAGTAACCGATATATATGATAATGTTTGCCATTAGGCGATTATATAGACTTTTCTTACAACGGACCACTATTTCAGTACCTTTTCACATTCTTATATTAATTTACACTGACGACTGCAAAAAAAGTCATCTCATCACCAAGTTTTGAAAACAGTACTCTCTACTAACTGAACTTTAAAAAGAATTCTAACTAAATTAATTATATACTACTAGGATCAATTCAAATCAAGTAGACGAAACTCGTGACGATTGTGATCTGATCTGTCTATTGAACCGTTGGATGAATTCTTCGACTCGTTTGTTCAACTCCTCGTTGGACAATTTTGAAAACTCTTCAGATTCTTCTTTAACATTTTCCCACTTCTCCGGAATAACCATCCATGTCGAGCAATCTGATTTCCTTCGACCATAACTTTTACGTTTGGTCATCTCTGTACCTTCGCTGAGCCTCTTTCTCCGTGGCTTATCTGATCTACTTCGCCCGTACGGTTTATTAGGGTTCACATGGTTTCTTGCGTCACAAGCTTCTTCGCTAGCAACAGTTTGATCAGTAACCTGTTTGATATTCTCGATAGCTAAAACGTCTCTCGGTTTTTCCTCGTTCACCACTGTCACTATTTTCTCGGGAGGAGAAACGTAAACGATCTCTTTCACCATCGATGCTTCTTCTTCTTCTTCTTTAGGGTTCTTGGTTTCGACATCTTTAGGGTTCTTGATTTCTGCATCTCTAAGGTTTTCTCCCTGTCTTGAAACGGGAATCGGAGAGTAGTAATCAGCACGGCTTCTCATCGTTGCGGTGGCGGCTGTGTATTCACTGTAAAAGTCGTGACTCTCTTTATCAGAGAAGGCACCATAATCGGCGGCGATTATGAGGATGAGAGTATTGGAGATGAAGAACAAAACCTTTGTGTCTTTGAAGACCGAAGATGGTGATACTTGGAAAACGTAAAAGATCATAATGTATGTGAAGATCGATAAGAAGATTGTAAGAATCGAAGAAGAGTAACAACGTTGTTTTTTTGGCTTGTAAGGCTCGAACTTTGGGTTCTCGATCATGTGTGAGGGCATTTCTGTCATTTTCACGTGCCAAGGAGGAAATGAGAGATTGAGAGATAGTGATGAAGAGTTAATGTGGCTGTGTTAATCTTTAGAGGTGTTGTAGCCTTTATATAGGAGGTTCATGGATTGAATCATTGAGTTCCGGAAATGTCGAAATTACCCTTGAAATATATATTATTGTATTGATGAAGTCTTGACACGATTCTAGATTTTGTCGCGTCATGGTGATTTACGTGGAAACTAATGGGCTCTCGTATTTGAAACATCCTGGTAGGTGCCCGGCAATTCATATTTAGTAATTAATATAGGATACATCATACATATCTTGTCTACCTGAGAAATTACATTGTATAAGAAAATGTTATGCTAAGATACAAAAAAACTTAATTAATTCGGGAAACATAGTTTGTCAAGGCATCGATCACGCTCGAGCATTGGTACAGCAGAATTTCGACACATCATCATTAGACAACAACACAATCAGATATATCCTCGATATTATCTTATATAAGGGTTACTTGTTAGACCTCAGGTTGGTTTAAACCTTTTGTGAATGTGGAACAAAGAGCAATATTATTCAACTGACATGACTTAAGGGATTAAAAACTACATGCATGTATAGCAGTATAGATCTAGATGTTGTGTGGAACTGAAATACCTATCATGATTTCTATGAAAACAGTCGAACACTAATCGCTTCTTCATTAAAATAAAATAAAAATAAATATATGAAATCAGTACGAAAGAGTAACTGGACTTTAGGTAATATTTTAGTTTCTTATTGTCATACACATTTATTCATAGATATGTATGCGTGATAGCTAACTATTCTTCCACGTACTACACGTCAAAGTGAATTACCCATTTTTAATATTGACTCATCTTGTGATTCACTATTACTTTACGAATAAAATATATGGAAATCTGGTTCAATGGGATATATATCGTACCTTTCGATGATACTATTGTACCATATGATAGGTTGTTTTTATTACAAGTTTTGGTGAAAAATTGAAAAGATTAATTATGTTCTAAACACATACTTAAAAACAAACTTATTAACAAAAAAAAAATATATATATATACATATATATATTTTTTATTTGGAAAGTTTTACCTGATTTACTGAAACATAATTCTAAGAAAAAAATAAATTATTTATTATAAATAAATTCACCTCAGGGGTTTCCAAAAAAAAAAACCTTCCACCTTAGCGCTTTAGCATTAAATATTGCTAATCCAATTTTTCGACTAACATCTTGACTTTTCTTTTCTGAACTTTGGTATATCAGTCACTTTTGCTAGATTATTGAGTTAGTAATGAATGAATTTCTTATTACTCTAACCAACTTTTACCTAGTAGACTTTTCCAATAGTTCTTATCTAAGAAATGGAAACTTGAAGTTATTAGAATGCATAGTGACACAGTATTAGAGAGATCTGGACTATGGCATGATTGATGTTTCGACTTCTCCGGCGAATAAATTTATTGTCCGTAGCTCATTCGGTTGTTTATGTTTTGGTCTAGGCAATTAAGTAATTAAGTAATAACCTTAGTATATTTGCAGATAATTTCGAGGCAATTTGTTGTTCATCTCTAAAATTAGTTGACGACCGAAAACTTAAGTATTTTGTTAGTTACCACAAGTTTAAGATAGTAGAACGCAATGTATAACACTAGCCACGTTGCAACTGCATCAGCAAGTTGGTTTGTCTTTTAGTAGTCCTATATATTTCAGTTCAATTTCTAGTCATCACCTTAGTCTTCCTTATAATTATTACTATAATAAGATATTTTCAATTAAGTCATTGTTTTATCATTTATGATTGACGTGGTAACGAAACGCATAATCTTCCATACAAATATTCTTCATATATCATGTGACGGCTAATCATTGTTGTTTTATTGTTGTTTATGACCAATGTAAATATTTATAAAGTCTCCATAAGGAAACTAGAGGTTAAAATTGGTACTAAGAACATAAAATTGATGTCTTAAATTTGAGCTCCGACGGAAAAACCGAAGAATTTCTAGAACAGTAACATCGTGTATCCCTTGATTGATGATATAAGAGACTAACCACTTTATTAGATTTTATGCGATACCATAAACAAAACTATTTATCCATACATAAAATTAAAAATAGTTAACCACATGGTGGTGGGCGAGTGGTTCTCGTTTGGTTGGAAGGATCGCCCTGTTGGTCTAGGCCAGGGATCGATCCTCCCCAGACGCAGTTTCGCTCTCTCACTCCTGTGGCCACCTGGGAATTTACCTGCGGACTTGCTCAGGCGCCCCAGACCACCAGTTTATCAGGGGGCCCTTAAGTGGAGGCTTAAAAATCCCTGTGACGCGGGCTTAGGCCCAGTGGGCTAGTCAGATCACTGTGTGGTCTGGATACTGGGTTATCAAAAAAAATAGTTGCTAGTAAATTTCTAGGAAAGTAACTTCTCGTTGAACTGTCTTCTAACAATAAATAATAAATAAGTATTTTGTCGAAATTCATTTAGTGTTGTGATAAAGGGACTTCTGACGATAGTCTCCAGTTCACATTTTGAGGTAGGATAATTTGGTCTACCAACTTAAAGACATTCTGACAGTCTCTAGTTCACATTATGTAGTAATATCCCTAAAATTTGTACGTTGGCTCTATATATGTAATAAAAGGTCCTTTTCATATATAGTCTCTTGTTCACATTTTAAGATACGTAAATTTTCTAGTGCTTTTGTCTCAACCATTACGTTGTAATATCTGTGAAACTTGTAAGTTGAGTCTAAGCTAAATCATACATACGGTTTAACCAAAAAATTAAATTAGAGTATTTTACATTCCATCGAAATTTCTGCAATATTAAAGAAGAGGTTTGAATTGAAATTTAGAATCGAGATATTTTTTATGATGCCTAGTGACCTACGATATTTATTAGTTTTCATTAACAAATTTATAACACATGAATCTACTATATATCCTTAGAATAATATAGTGTCAAGACTCAAGAACACATCTACATGAGGAAACTTTTTTTTATTTTAGTTTAGTTGTGAGTAATATAGCTCACAACCATCTTTTTAACTCATTAACAAAAAAAGAACTATCTTTTCAATACCCAGTTTCATATTCTTTAATGTTTTAAATATATTTTTTATTCGAAAATTTAAGTTTTTTTAAAAAAAATTGAGATTTTTCTTTATTTACATTTTGAAGCGTATTTTATTATTGGATAAATTGTTTTAAATCAAGTATTGAATTATGTTATAAATATAAAGAAAAGCAAAAAATAATAATAATTTACATTTCGTTTTTATAGGGAGAAAATGTTATTTATCTTAAGATTTGATCATCACTAGCCACAAATCGATGTCATGCATTTATTACGAATTTCGTAACATTTCACAAACTAGAATTGTAGCAGTAACTCCAATACATATTGATCAATTGGTAATTGTTTTGATGAAATTCGACTACAAAAATGAGATATAGTCTTATTTACGATCTATAACTATAAATATTACCTCTAGTTGACCAAAAAAAAAAAACACACAACTGCTAACTGATTTTGATATATAACTGTGAAAAATACAAATGTTGGACTTCGTCTTTAGTTTTTGGACTAAACCTATCTTTGATAATATCTAACTTATTCTATATAGAGTCGAAGTGCCCAACCCAAGAATTAGCTCCGTTGTGGAAGAAAGTTTTCAAATTTTAAAGTCGAATGGTCTAGACGCGATTAAGGTATCATATAGATGATCATGAACCGATCTATCTTTGTCAATAAAGATGATTCTCGAATGAGAAAGAAGAAACATCAAAACAAGCTGCATTTATAGCTTGTGTTCTTGGTTGTGTTTATGTTCCACTTTCTCGTAGCACGTGAGTAGTTCATTCTCAATCGGTCAATCCTTTATTCACCATATCATTTTCATCTTTCAAAATCAAAGCTCCATTTAATTTTTCTTGGTCTTATCTCCATTACACAAATCACAAATTCAATAAAATATTGAGAGAGCAACTTGGATGAGTTTAAGATAAAGAACAAAAACAATTTGTTGGCACAAAATCTATTTGTAGCAACATTTGATGGAAACGGAACAAGATGTTTTTGATTTTGTATATGTGTTGTTCTGAAAATATTATCGGGTGGGGCACGTATTTGAGATATTATTTGAAAATAAAACATAACGGCTTGATAATGATAAGACTTTTAATTTTATCAAAAATATGATAGAATTTTAAGAATATTTATCTAATGCCATTAATAACTTTTTTTTTTGTTTTCCAAGAGAAGAGTGGAACACAAAACTCATATAAGAGAATTAGGTTTTTAAGACATAAAAAAAGACTTTAAAACATGAGAAAGAGTTGGATATCTTGTAGGCTTCTAGCCATTTGGCTCTTTTAAGGAAACCAAAACATGTATAGAAATTCGGCTAAAGAGAAAAGGAGATAAGGTGTATTTACCGCCGACTAGATCAGAGCAGGCGCTAAACCTACAATCTCATCTGACCACCCTGGACCTCCCAAGCTTTAGTAGTTTAGTTCATGTGAAGATGTGTATGGCTGGTTTGTTGATGGTATTAAATGCATGGGTTTCTCTTCAGCAAAGACATGGTATGTCCTAATTAGGTAAAAGATTGGCACAATGTGGTCTGGTTTAAGGGGTCAACTCCAAAGCACACTTTCTTGTTTTGGATAAGTCAGTTGGATGAACTACTGACTAGAAGCCGGCTAGTGTCATAGGGTTTGAGATTCCTATATCATGTTGTCTCCATATCTTTCACTCTTGGGACCGATCCAAACATTTATAGTGTCCTAAGCGAAATCAAAATATGATATATAACAAACAAATTTTATAAATTTTTTGTAGTTTATTATATAAAACAATTCTGTTTTGTTTAATATTTATAAAAGATAAATACTGCAATATTTTATTGTATTATTTAATTGTCACAAATGATTTAAAGATGCTAACATTATAAATTTAATTATATATATATATATATATCATTTTTAAGATTACATAACTAATATCTGTAAGTTTTTGTTCAAATTATTTCAAACATCTACGAAAATAGTGA